TTGTATGTAAGCAATTTTTATATTGAATATGAGTTATTTGCATGCCAAGATGATTTTCACTTAAGAATAAATAAATTTGAGCCTTGTCATATTTTCAAAGGTCATGTTCATCACCTTATGTTCAGATTTGTAAAATAAAAAATGAAAAAAAGAAAGAAAGAAAAGAGATTGATGAAGAACTTCACTTTTTCATGTCAAGGTTGAATTCAATTGTGCAGTGGTGTGATACACATCTTACTTATTTTGTTCCCATACTCTAAAACACATCAAGATTATCCCACTGCTATTGTATACAAATACCTCAGACACTTAACAAGTTAAACAAATTAATGAGCTTCTTCTTATGTTTTCTGTATGGGGCCCTAAAGCTGCAGTTAATTTGCCTGTTAGTTTGTACACTGTATTTCTCTTGCACACTCTTCATTTGTACTTCAGATTTACCTGTTATAGTGAAATTCCTATGTTACGATATACAGTTTTTAAGAGTAACAAGAAGGAATACAGGGTATGGAGGATTGTGTGAATATAGAAAAACATATTTGCTCACGTTCACTTGCATTCTCACAATCACACATGCACGCATGAATATGTAGGTAGTAAAATTAATATATATATCTCTGGCGTGTAAGTTGGTACAGCCTGGTACTGCTGTCTGCTTCCTAGGTAAGCACATTTCATCTTCTCCACTGAAATTAAACCTTTTTGTCATAAATTCTCTAAGTGACCAAGCATATAACTGATAGGTGTTGCATGACCTTTGGTGGAAGGGGGATTGAGCATAATGAGAAAATAATGAGTTTCAGTAATTTCTGTTTCAAGTGGTTGTAATTGATTAAGATAGCTATTACTTTACAGGTACGTATTTATCTCTGTATTTTTAACAAGACACATTTTTATTGAGTATTTGTATGCATAGTGGTAGGTGTACCATTACAAGACAACTTGTTTGGCAACATTGAGCTCAAGGTAATATGACCTTGAAAAAGGGGTAGGAGCAAGAACAGACTTTAATTGTTTTATTCATTTAAGTATATGTTTTGTTCCCTTTGGGCAGTTTTTCAATTTTTACTTCTTCTCTGTGTTAAGGATTTATTTCAGAGCAACGTCTTTTTCCTAGGGGTCAATCTTCAAAGTGTTATCTATGTGTTGCAGCAGTTCTGTAGTCCTTGGGGAGTACAAATTAGAATAACTTTTTATTCTATGGACAGAAAGCTCAACTTTTTAGTACACGCCACCATATTGTCACGGCAGTTAAGATAACATCTGTGGGCTGACAAATGAAACCTCCTTTCCATTGTCTTAAATATATATAAAGAATTATTATGACCCTTCAGAGATTGGTTCCCATGTCAGGTTCCCAGAAAATTATTACCTTCAAAGTCTTAGTTTTTTCCCAATTTTGTGGCTTTTTTTTTTAAGATCTCACTATTATAAATTGTTCTTTTAGTTTTGGCCAGTCATATGTCATTGTCATCCTGTGAGTAAATTTGTGACATTTCATTTGGTAATGGGAGCAAGGATCAAGGGTCAGTTCTTAGGCCTGAAACTCAGAGAAACCATCTGATCTAACGAACTGAAGGACTTCATTTCATAATCAAATTTTACTAAATGCATCTATGTTCGTTTTAACACAAAAGGCATTGGTCAACAGTTCATGTAAGGGGTCATTTAAATGGTCACTCAAGGTCATACTCCTCTCACTTTTGTAGTTTTTTAGTCTGGTAAATGTTAGTCAACATGTGAAATAGAACTTAAAGCTCAAAAGAAACCTTCGAGACAGTTGATGGATGAAACACAATAGATGTTGTATGACGTTTGATAATGCGTGAGAAAGTTAGGCAGTATAGGTTGAACATATGCCTGAAAAGATAGATGATCCCTCTGTGCAGTGGACTGTTAATCTATCTTTCCAAATTATTTTAACAGCCCAAGTCATGCAAAATATCCCTCTCTCCCCCCTCCCCCACCCTCACAAATGCCATATATCTTGCGTGTCCTCAAGACTCGGTGTCAGACTGTGGTCCAGTGATTTGTCAGTGGAAATAAGCAGCCTCTCATACACTGTCATAATGTGACATATATACTCATGCACAGCAGCATGATAGATATGACAGCAGAGACCAGGGGTTGTTTTTCAACCTCTTTGCACAGACAAAAAATTGCTGTCATAATGGGATCATAGTTCTAATAAGATTTAATAACATATATCTTGAAATACCCATTTATTCAAATCATATACTGTTTCTACAACTGTCATGTTTTAAGTAAAATTTAGTGTTTCCCAACATGGACACCATGAAGTGCCATTATTTTGACATTGTTAAATCCCTTAGATATGTTGTATAGTGATCAACTAGTTTTACTACAAATGAGGACAGCTTATTGATGTTTGAGTGTTACTTCTATTTGGTTTCTGTAGAACTGCACACAGAGCTATGTAAGTGACAGTCACTGTTTCATTCTTTGTGATAAGCAAAACTTTGTAACGTAAAACCTGCTGGTTAATCTGTAATCCATTTGTTATTATTATTTTTTTAATTTGATAAATGTTTATTTATTTCAGACCTGCCCACTATGCAGATGATGGATGATGCCAGCAGTGACTCTGCAGTGTCTTCCATGGGAAGTTCCCCATACCAGGTATGTTGTACTAGTTTGGTCAGATGCACACATTAAGAGAGTACTTCTCAATAGACAAGTCTTTTTTCCCCAAAATGAACTTATTTCCAGTACACATTTTATTTGAAGAAACAGAACATTTTGTCAGGTGTAAGTATTGATTTAGCAGCATATTTGGATGTGGTAAAATTTAAAAGAAATAAAGATTTTAAAGGACATCTAAAAAACTTTCATCAAGCCCAGTTAGATAGCTTTAAAATAGAAATGGCTAATAATTTGAATATTATTTCTTTGTATTGCAGGAGTGGACCGACAGCTCTATTGGTTCCACCTCTCCATTCGACACACTGGAGGGCGCCACTGGTGGCATGCATCAAGGAGGTGCCACAGGCTTCACCAAACCAAAGTTTGAGTACTATGATAACAGCTGCACCTACAGCATGGACCCAGGCTATCAGGATTCCCTCCATACCAACTACTCTGGCTCAGACAATGGGACAAGCTACCCTCAGTTCACTCCTGCCAGCAAGAAACACATTCATCATAACCACACATATCCCCTCCAGCCAGGCCAGCAACCCAAAGAACAGAAGAAGCCAGACCGCGACAAGGGCACACGCACCATGTTCAGCCGTGATGAGAAGCGGGCCAAGGCAATGCGCATTCCATTCTCCGTGTCTGATATTGTTAACTCTGCCGTGGAAGATTTCAACGAGATGCTGCAGAAGTATGCTTTGACTGAAGCACAGCTCCAGCTTGTCCGTGACATCAGACGCAGAGGCAAAAACAAGGTGGCTGCACAGAATTGTCGCAAACGCAAGATGGAGATCATTTTCACCTTAGACGATGAAGTCAAAGCCATGCAGCAGGAGAGAGACAGATTGCAGAAGGAGAGACAAGAGATGGAAAAGGAACACCTGGAATTCAAGAACAAGTTCAGCCACCTTTATATGGAGGTTTTCAGGTCTCTGAGGGATGAAAACGGCCGGCCGTACAACCCACAAGAATACTCGCTTCAGCAAACTGCCGATGGGAACGTCTTCTTGATCCCGCGGAATTCCACCAGCAGCGACCACACAGAGAAGGCACAAAAGAAAAGAAAATCCAAGAAGCAATGAACTGTATGAATGTATTGACAGATGAACAGGGATGCAGATTGAAAATTGACCTGTGCTTCACCTTAGAAAAGAAAGGGCAGTAAAACTACCCACTAATAAGAATTGACTTCACATTGAGTACCACTTTGGTGTGGATGTGACTTCCTACTTGAGGTTCAATATTAAGCAATTGCTACTGTACTGGATTCACATTTTCTTGTAATACAGATTTTAGAAGAACAATATGTTAATCCATGAATAACTGCTATTTAAATTACAACCCACTTTTGCTGTGCCCACCAGAAAAAAAGATACTTCTTATTGTCTTCAGTGACAGGTTATTCAATTGTTGTAAATGTTTATGTATTGATTCTGCTGTGCAGATTTATTGCTACTTTAAAGAAACAAAAATGCAATTTTGCTTCTGTAGGTCCTAATTAAAATAACACAGCTGTTGCTATTTCTTTTGAAATCATGACAGGCTTTTTGTTCAAATGGAGGTCATCCCTTAAAAATGACAGTCTGTTATCTCTGAAAACTGAAGAAAAAAATATGACCAACTAGTTAGAAGCAAAATGGACTAACAACATCATTAATTGGTTTTTGAAACCAAGTATTTTTGGCTGCTGACTTGGTCAGATTAGTTGTGTACAGTTAAAGCATCCATGACACTGATATTTCCTGTATTTGCTGTCTCTTTTATCCAATACATAGACTGCAGTTATCACTTATGCTTTTGCAAAGTGTCACATAATTTGAAAACAAAATATGTAATAAAGAGGTACAGGCCATGTGCCTTATATTCAAGTTATTGTCAAGTAGTAACATGCTATACTATATTGTATTACAACCTGTCCATTTTGTTTAGGCTTTAATATAGGGGGTTTGTTCTTTAATAACCTCTTTTGATTTTTGTTATATTGCAGATATGTATTCCAAGAATAAGGGTTAGTTATTATTATTGTAGAGATTTCATATAATGGGATCTATATAAGTGAGTACATTTGTATCTGTTGTTGTATTTACATTTTATTTGTTTTCTCTTTTTCATTTCATGATAAATGTACTGATATATTAGATATTTGGCTATATTGCTGTATTCAGAAACTGATAGCTTTGAATGGATGCCTTTTACTGATATGGTACTAAGTGTTTCATTTATTAATAAGTTGCATTCAGAGACTTAAACTGATGTAATATTGCTTCTATAAGTATAAATCACGAATCTATTGTTTGATATCGTTTGGAATGATTATTCTCTTTTCAGTTTTGCCTAGTGTTTTCTATGGTCAGTTCAGAAGTTATTCATGTGGCCAGCAAGTTACTGCTGGTTTGTATGTGCATGGATCTTTTCAGGCAGTAGTTAAGAATAGGTAAAAATTAGAATTGTTCGCTTGTTTTACATTTGTTTGAAAGGGAAGTATTCCTCTTATCTTTTTTGTGGCACTACTAGGTTCTTATTTGAATCTAATGTGAAGGAGTTATGAAAAAAATGACACTGGCTTAACTTTCCTATAACATTGAGGAACTTTGCAAAGAAGTTGAAATTGAGAAAGAGTATCGTCATGAATTGTTCTTTACAACATTTTCAAAGTGTAAATAAGGTGTTATTTGTATTGCTGATAAAATATTTTCAATAAAAAATTATTAAAACTAGTCGTATGTTTGTTTTTAAATATTACTGTAAAACCTACAGCTGTACAATGTGGATGAAAAGTACCTTATTGAAGGGAAAACAATGGAGGAAAGAAAACGGGTTTTTGCGAAAGTGTTAACTTTGATATTGTATGTATAGGATTGGGAGATTCTACTAATTGCAGCTCCATGCCATAATGTAAAGAGGTTTCAACAGTAATAATAATAATGCACACTTTACAATTTATTCAAGGGGGTTTAGAGACCATTTCCAGAGACTATCGTACTAAATTTGGATCGAACTATCTCCGAAGGGATTCTCGCTTAGGCGGCTTATAATTAGATGTCTGTCACACCTGCTGAGGCTGATAGGGGGTAATTACTATCGTTTAACAGCTTTAGTGGACGTCCCAGACGTCTAAGCCGTTTGGGCTGAAAACCATATATCGAGGGACTCCGTGGAGACTCCGTGGAGATGGATCCTGTTGGATCGATCTAGGGATAGGAACCCAGTCTTAGATGGGGTCAGCTATTTACAAGGGGCCGTAGCGATAGTCCGAAGGTTCAATAGTCCGAAGGTTCATTGGTCCGAATGTTCACTATAGAACCTTCGGACCAATGAACCCTTGATTAAAAAATCGATGAAAATGTTACCACTTTTCGGACCAATGAACCTTCGGACCAATGAACCTTCGGACTATCGAGACGCCCCCTACAAAACACATCGTTAGATACACGTCAGACAACTTTTGATACAAGCACAACAATACGTGTACATACCTATAAATCCACGTGCCTATTACAGACATGAGCTTTTTCCGCGGAATTCGGCGTCTTTTAATTCAATTTTAAGGCGGCCCCCGGACCCCCGGCCAGTTAGGTTTTGGGTCCCATGATAAATGAGACTTTTTTAAATCTAGGCTCATGTCTGCTATTAACCCATGCATATACCGACAAATCCGATAAGGGGAAAGCTGAAGAAAGAGGGCACAAGGAAATTGACAACATTGCATTGAAGTAGGATGGTTATGGGTTCTATTGTTGGCTTTGGTATACAATACAGTATTTTCAGGAAATGGCCATATAATCATTGTTGTCTAAGTTTGATGGTCCATAATTGCTCTCTTGGAGCTAAAGAAAAAACGAAATTCCATATACTAATTGAAAATAATACTTTCATCGAACGCCTATCTTTATAGAACCAAATAATATTTAGAACGAAAGGTACTTTTCAAAAACCTTGTTCACTTCTTTGTGAGCGCCGCAGATATCTTCTTCAACGTTGGTGACCAGAATTTTAGAAAGGACCCCTTTTTTCCTACAAATAACCAGATAACCAGCTCCCCCCCTCCCTCCCTCCCCCCTTTCCTCTCCGACAAACATTTTTCTCGGCTTACGACCCTGAAATCGAAGATAGAAAAAACATTCACTGATTTTAAATAACTTACTCAGACGCGTACCACTAGACCAGGGCGCACCTGTAGGATTCACCCGGGGGTTAAACTTGAGCAGTGCTTTTTAAAAACACTTTTTGACAGCTATCACACCCTATGATTTTAGCGAAACTTAAATGTGTCTATCGGTATTTGGATTTAAAGGTATGTCGATTTAGAGGTAAGTCGGTTTAACGGGGCATCGTTGCTACATGCCTGATGTCTGTTGAACAAGAAAGTACAGTAGATTTAAGGTTTGTTCAAATTCTGCAAAGAGTTGTTTTTTTTTTAACATAGGAGTTTACAGATAATAGAAATAGATTTAGAAAGGCTCTCATCCGCAATTTGGCAAACAATCCCATCAAAATATATAAACCTCGTATTCTTATACTTTCTAACCCATCACTGAGAGTAGCAAGAAGCTCAATGCGTTAGGCCGTATTCACATCGTGAAGAGCCGAGGCTCTACAAAGCCGAGAACTAAATATGGCGGACGTACATGAAAGGAAAACCGCCTAATCCTTTAATGGTCTCTCCGCCTCTCATATTTCGATCTCGGCTTTGTAGAGCCTCGGCTCTTCTCGATGTGAATGCTATCTTATACATGTAGTAGAACTTTTTTTACTTTTCTATTAATGAAAATTGTTATAGGTAACCTGAGATGCTTCCAAACTTGTGACGTCCCAAGATACAATACGAAAAAGTGCACCATTAACCGCTTAGGTAAAATTTGAAAACAAAATGGTAGTATTCTGTGTATTATTAGAAAAGGAAACACGGTCGCTCTAAATACCCCATTTCAATATGTTAACATACGTACACTTAAATGTTTTGAAAATCACAGTACGGTATTGCCTGTGTGTGTGTGTGTGTGTGTGTGTGTGTGTGTGTGTATGCCTGTGCCAAGTCACTACCAACAGATATCTAGGGGAACTTTTATCAAACGTACAGTATGTGCATTTTACAAAAAAAAAAAAAAAAAAACAGCAAGGATATTGGCAGTTCTAAAATATCAAAAGACCATTCATTTTTTAACGAAATTAGAATGACATACAGACTAATGCAATTAAATTTGAATGAATATTAAATATACTGAAATGGATAGATTTGTGCTCAAGCCGAAAACCTGAAGCATCACACTGAGACTGACTGAACAATACACTGACAAAAAAATCCACTGAAAAAAGGGTATATAGTTCAAGAATCAATTAAAAAATACATATATATATTTCACAAATTTCAAAGAATTTTGTACACCAATTTCTAGTGCACTGTGAGGCGAATGGCAAGAAAAAAACACGATCTATACTGCTGAAACATTCCCAGAGACAAGACACAAACGAATGAATTCTGCCAAGAAACTGACTGGTAATTACAGTACCGATTAAAACAAAGCTCTAAAGCCCAGGAGGCAGATTTCAGTTTTCTCGTGAACAAAAAATTTTATCTGATGAACGGTACGACAGTCTGCTTTTATTATATGTAAAAATAGGGTAAATATTATAAGAAAGACAGAAAGACAAACAGGGGTGAAAACATAACCTCCTTGGCGGAGGTAAATATTGGCTGAGCCCAAGTGGCTCTACCTACTCAACTGCCAGTACACTTGTTGGTAATGGGTGAAGCACAGTCCCTTTTTTGAAAAGCAAACCATAAATAGGGGCCTATTTGGCAAGAGCAATCATATGTTCATTCTTCTTACCAGTCATGAGTGTTATAAATCGATCCATTCTGGTAAGATGCTCAAAGTTACTATATTGTTTTGTGTACACTGAATAAAGATCATATCGAAGATCTGTATAAAGAGAGCAGGACACAAGGAAATGGATTTCATCTTCTATTTCCCCAGAATTACACTTTTTTCAAATTGTCTGATTGAGGAATTTTTTCATGTCTACCTGTTTCAATACCTAGATTGTGTGCACTTATGCGGAATCTAGTTAAAGTGGTGCATTTATCTCTATCTTTAATTGTATCTAAGTATCTTTCCTTCACATATTTGTTCTTGTTTTGACAATAAACTTGCAATTTGGACTTGGTGCTGGTTATGTCTCTCTGCCATTCTTGTGTTATTCTGTCCCCGATTCTTTCCCTAAACCGTTGAATAAAGCCATTCTCAAAAAGTATTTGTCTCACACCTTCGCACCATGACATGTTCTCCTGCTCTAGGATCCAAAATAAATTATTTTGGATCCTAGTCCTGCTTTATCTCTGTAAGGTTGGATAATTTTAAACGATTGTAAGTTTCTATTTCAACCAGATAGGCCTGTTTCAATAAACTATTATTGTCATGTGAGTTTTATTGGACGTAGAGGACTTTCCTCGGCATACGTGTGTGTGCCGCTGGGAGGCTCAATTGACTAGTATAAAATTGCGGGATTTGGAATTGTAATCAACAGTTGGACACGTGTTGAGAATACCCACAAAATTTAATTTGACTACTTTAAAAAACAAGAGCACATTTCTACGAGAGGTTTTACTGCATGCAGTGTTTGTGTAAAACAAAATTGATGAAACTAATGGAACAAAATTACAAGAAAGGTTATCCAATCGGACTGGCTTGTGAACTCAAGCTGTATTTAATCCTAAGAATCATTCTTTACAGTTTGCAGGTTTCTTTTTATGGTGACAGAGCAAAATAATAATAATAATCAGTTTTGATCCCAGGTCCTTTTAACCAAACAAAGCTACTCAGTAAATTTTAAGAAAAACGATGCATTTTGTTATTAGACATCTTTCATACAAGTACTAACACAGCCCATTAACTATCATTCTGCAAAAACAAAATGAATAATCAGATAATAAAATAATTTTATTGACTTCTCAAATATTCAGACAGCTATTGGATCTAACTGCACCTGACATAAAATTGGTCTACAATATAACTGATAAATATTTCTATTATGTTAAAAAGACCTTAAGATCTCAGACTGGAAATATAATCACTCGGCCCACAGAGGAAAAATATTCCTGGTACAGTAGTTGTTGACATTATCAATTCCATACTTTGTATTCCAAAAGATATAATGTTCACATCAAATTTTAAGAAAACAGAATTCAAGATGGACGTCGTATTCTAAAATCTGCAATACAGCAGCCTTCTTACTTAGGTAAAAACACTAATTGCAGAACATCATTGTTTACCTTATCCAACATACTTACACATGTGAATCTCACAATAACATGGAGAACATTTTGCAAAATAAACATTTGAGATACAACACATTCTAAACTGCAACCAGTATTTGTTCACAAGGTTCCAAGAGAAAGTCTTGCACATTTTCCAAATTTGTCTTTACCATTTTGACAATCCCTTCACATGTATGACAAGGAAACGAGCTAATTACTGGGCATGTAATGAGTCAGGTGGTCACCTGGAATTTTTTCTCTATTTCAAAAACTCAGTCCCCAGATTTTGGAAGGTTGTTGAAATCCTTGTAAAATACAAAATTCAGTGATACTTCCATAGAAGGTTCCATAGTGCTTAAAAGGAAATGTTCAGTGTGCGACATAGTTTTTGCACAGTATTGTCTAGTCTTTTATTTTCCATTCAAGGGTGCATCAATCATCTTTATCCTCATCATTTTGATTGTGCCACGTGAGTCGCTCCTCATAGAACTGAATTACAATCTGTGGGCACTTCACATTGGCTTGTCTTGCTGGAACCAGATCTGCCTCGTCACAGTCTTTCCTGGAATTTATAACGCACTGTCAATAAATATCATTAAATTAAATGACACTGTCACGGCTGAATCCTTCATCCAAATGAAAAATTTCTAGAGTATGTGTAGCTATTGCATATTTTGTCTTCATCAAATCCTTGAAATACCAAAATGTGTTTTTCTTCATCCAAATAAAATTTCATAAGGTATTTTGGGGATACTTGCTTCGTTAAGATTTTCAGAGTAAAATTGGAGGGAAATTACAATTAAAGAAGAAAAAGTACGAAGTTGCTAAAAAAATATAGGCAGTATGCAAAAGATTTAGATCTAACATTTCAGCAGCTAAAGGACCAAATTTGCCACTGTGTATGAAAGAAGATGCAAAGTCTCAAATCAAACCAAAACATCACGTAGCAAAACATGCATATACATGCAAGCATTCCCCCCCCCCCCAAAAAAAAAGCAACGCTGTCCAGTCTGACTTACAAAAAAATCTTTAAAACTTACTTCCCCCTTTTCTTTAAACAACTTAACATAACAAAAGATATATCACTGAAGATACTATCCTACCATTTCATTAAAAACATGAGTTCCCCACTGCTGTCTGTGGCACCTATGATCCTCTCAGGCTGCAGACCTCGATCAAATCCTCGCGGCTTGTGTTCTTCTTCCTGTGATCAAAAAGCAATAAAAAAAATTGCAATTTATCTCTGACCTTATGTCCATAGTTATCCTGTCACTTGCAACATATGGTAACTGCTCACAAATTCCAACAATGAACTAGTTTTAATTTCACTTCTCTACAAATTAAATCATTTCAGATATTTCAAATAAATAAAAACAATGAAAAATATTAATTTCACTTTTCAGTTATCCATGCCAAGTAAGCCCATATCTGTTTCAAGAAAAAAAATAATGGACAAAAATATAAATTTCTTAATATTCTTTTGGCTAAAAAAATGTATAATATTTCAAGAACAGCAACTACTAGTAAATCTATGACTGATATAGCTAAAAACACCAAAGACATTCCGCTTAACTTTTGATTGTCCTGTATCAAGCAATATCAACTGGTTGGTTGAAAGAAATTACATAATTTAAAAAGTTGTCTAGGGTCAACTGATGGTACATACTTCTGTTTTAAAGTCCTTCGTTTGAGCTTACAACATTCACTTTCTACATACTACTTATGATTTATTACAACTTGTACTATTTTATGCAAACTCTCTGCTTTACCAGCTAAAAGAGATTGTGAGCCCTAATAATGCAAAACTAAATCCATTAACCACTCTGTTAATTGTTATACCACAACACACTGGGATATCACACATACTTCTGCCACTTTCTTCTTCTTTTTACTTGTGCCTTCATCGTCATCTCTGTCCTCTGCTTTTTTCTTTGTGGCTTGCTTTTTCTTTTTATCGTCCTTTTCTTTCTTTCTTTTTTCCTCGTAGTCTGCTATAAGATCTGGACAGTCCAAGTTATTTTCTGGCTCCCAGGTGTTCTCTGAACTGTAAAATGTGAAATTGCTTTTTTTCAGAAACCAATCAATGACTGTATAATTCAATCAGCGCAATCTAATTCTGCATGGCAAGTTTGGAAAGACAAAAAAATTCAAAAACAAAACTTAAAATGTGTGGAGCTACTTGCTACTTTCCTCAATTTAAAAAATCAAAGTCTATAGCTTCACTAGGAAACAATATAATGCCAAATTGTGCCATTATAAAACATGCCAACCTGTAAAATAGGTTAGCCAAATGCTAAAAGAAAACAACAATTTTGACAATTTATAAGTTCAGGATTTCAACATGCTGATAATGATGAAATTTTCAGCTACAAGAATAAACCCAGGATGCCTTGCTAGATGGTCACATGGTGAAATGAAAAACCTAAGGTAAGGCAGATGAGTTTGGCACTGTGCCTACTACCAAATGTCTTTAGGCAAGACAGTAGACCCCTAATGCCTCCTGTTGCCCAGTTGTGGAAATAGGCACTACCTTGATATATCAAGAAACTGCCTGCCATAGGCTGGCACCCTATGAAAGATGTGTGAAAACTAAAATAAGCACTAACCAGTATAAGCCCTTGTGTTACTGCTTCACAATAGCAGAACTTAAGCAATTTGGCTTTTTCATTCAGTCATTGTGTAAGTGAAAATGGGGACATAATTCCACTCTTTCAAATACTTACATATTATAATTTAATAATACTTCACAACTTACTCAGGATAATTTTTCCACTTAATCAAGTACTCTCTCTGTCCTCCTCGTACCCGTACATCCACCACCCTCTCTACCTCATATTCTTCTTCTTCCTCTTCTTCAACTTCAGGGGTAGGTGGGTCTTCTTTTTTGTCTTTCTTTCCCATAGCTCTGGAAAAAAATAAACCATGATTGGACTAAACTGGAGAGTCCATGAGAGACAGAAAGTAAAGGTATTATTTGTAGTTTAGCATGACTAAATTCATCTTTGATTTTAAAGGAAAAGTTTGCAGGGAATGTCGAGGCATAAACAGTCAAAACTGAAGCATATATACTAGTATGTGCATCATCATTATATGAAGAATTCAGGATGAGCTGCTTTGTATTCTGTAATTGAACATTGAAATAATTAACAGTGAAATGTGATTTAGGGGAAAAATTAGTTTTTACATATTACTGGTTTAGTTTAGAAATGAAATCCACCAGTTACTGGGCACATGCTAACAAACTAACGAGATGTCTATATATATCTACAAATTCAACTTTGGGCTTTTGTACTAAGGACAATGTTTTTGAAAAGTACCACCCTGAAATTTTAATAACAATCAATCTTGTAAACAACCAATTTGGGCCATGTTACCATTTTAAGATAGAGGTCACTTGGTACAAGAATAGCAAGCTTACTAGGAGTATTTAATAAAATCAAAACACCAAATCGACTAAAAGTATATCTACTTTGATCTACTCGCTGTAGGTTCCTTTTCCATGTTTCTAAAACGAGAAGAAGGTTAGAAAAGTTAGCTAATCATAGCATGTGGTAAAGAGAAGCAGAAAAGACGCACAGTAAGGTATCAAATAGTGCTCCCACAAAACATGATTGGTGTGATTTTACATGAAATATTTAATTTTTGAACCGATTAATTTTGACATGTTAGTGCCACGAAAGCTACATTCTTTCTACTATGGTCAAACACCCTGATAAGTCGAGTTTGAATGTGATGTGGTTAGATCACTCAAGGAACCAACTAAAGCTAGGAGAGTTCAATGGGGATCATCCGAATAACTAAGGAATTATCAGCACTGCATAATATCATACAAAACTACAAAATTAATAAGAATCATAGCGAGATGTAGTTTTTTGGTGGTAAGGTTGAAACTTTGTGCATTGGGAACATCATCTTAGAAAGCAGTACAACAGTGACATGCAAAAGGTGGTGAATTAGAACTGTTCTGCGGTAGATTGTATGTAACCTAACAAAGGGCAAGGATCCATGAATAACTGGCAGATTCTAGTTGTTGCTGCACTACACTCACTTGTCTGCTGTTACTTTTGACCCCACTCTTATCCAAATCCTGTGAAATCACACTTCAAATATTGATATTTGAGCAAACATTTTCTTTTTTCATTCTGAGCCATATATAATCCTTGGTTTTTGACACTCATTTAAATATCTGTACATTGGCACACACAGCATTTATATATTATACTATTATATATTGCTATATCACTTGGGGGAACTTTTACAAACTGGAGGGACATATATAAAGGTCTAGTTTCCAAACAAAAATTTGAAAGGGAAGTTGTAAAGCTTTTTTTTTTTTTGACTGACCAAGTGATTAATTTGGCTTATCTTTTGGAATGCCAACTATGTATGAGTTGTATAAGAAACTAGTAGAAGCGTTTTATGTCGGTTTCTGGGAATTTACACTAGCTTCACAGGTAACTTTTGATGAAGTCGTGAAATCATATGAACTAGATATCTCGAATGATCCCCACTGACAGATTCTGAATTCCTGATATCAGAAACAGATAGGGTGGAAGGTAAATGGGATAGGGGTAAGTTCAAATTGATGATAAACTTTATATATACCTTCCTTTCCAATATTATTGCTATTCAGATCAAACTATGAACCTGATCAAAGGCAGTGGCGCTCGTGAATAGAGAGCAAGTCTGTTCTAGTTTTTAAAATCCAGTACGTCCAATTTTGACTCCCAGTGACACGTTGCTCAATCTGTGCTCTGTAAATGTAAGGTGAAAACGTGTCAAAAGCAGAAGAGTGCTTAATCTTATGTGCTTTCAAAATATGAAACTGACATTGCTGAAGACCACCTGCGCCAAAAGGCAACAATGGATCGTCAAGTTACAACTTGCTCACATGTGCAATCACCATTTAACTCGTGAAAACGACTTTTCAAAAAAAGGAAAAAAATCATTTAAATAACGCACATATTGTTCTTAGTTAATATAAACCTAAATGTTAAACTAGAACAATATATTAAACATGCAATGTACCTGATTTCGGCGGTTCTTTCTTATTGCATACAGCATACAATGAAACACCCGCCAAAGTGGAACCCTTCGCGCTTGCGTGCACTGAGCATACGGGCACTTCACATGGTAATCTGTGCACTCGGGTCTTTCCGTAACAGTTTTATTTTAAAAAATGTAACAAATGTGGTCTAACGTGTACCAAATTTCATACACCACAAAATACCATTTATTCTTAACAAGCTCAAGATTATTATAAGGGGATAATTACCATTATTATATTTTCATATATTACCCCGGAGATTACCGAGCCATTTGAGTCACGTGACATTTGTAAAAATCCAAAGCGTGCAAAATGCCGGAGGTAAGTGAAAGGGTTTTTTACGTTCAAATTTCTGCTGTATAAAGCTATGATCTTAGTAATATTTATGTTAAAGGTGTTGATTTGTGACTCAATGCATAATACATTCCATTTAAAGTCTGCAAATAAAGTATTTATTTGATAAATAGGGTTTATATTGCGACCGGCATCTTGTTCCTTATTTTGTTCTTTGTCTAAGCAAGTGCGTATTTCTATAATTTTAATTTTTTGACCAGTTCTTTTGGGTTTTGAGGTTGTTCGTAAATATACTCAAGCTGGAATCGAAAAATTTGTTTTGATTAAAAAATTATAAATAATGCTTTTGCACAAATAGGGATATCAGTTAATTATTTCAAACATTCACTTACTGTAAGGATTTGTGATTTGTTTACTGGACATTCTCGTTTGAAAAAAGCCCCATGCAATGGGCAAGCATAGAAAGTAAAATCCGTGACTCGGCTAATAAGTTTTAGATGCCTTCTTATCTAATTATAAGATGCGCCAGTCATGGGGTTGAATTTATTTCTACAGGAATAGCACATTCTGCTAAGATTTTATTGTACAATCCAATGGGTTGGCAATAATCCTTATTTTTAGACCCCTGTTGTGCTTTATTGCACTTTTCAGAATGGCCACATATTTTCCTTACATATTAGCTTTTTAGACACCTTTTTTTATGCATATTAATGTTGTTCTCAGGACTCAATAACAGTAATGCTTATTGGCCAGACTCAAAAGGACCCTATTACCATTTCTGTCTTTTCTTAACTGAGGCCCAAATGTTGTAACATCAATGCCTTTGTTTTTGTATTTCCTAGGATTGCAGATTTGAGCAGGAGTTTTTTCGTTGTTTTGAAAACAGGTTGAACTAATGAAAAGAGTTACAACAAATCCCATCTAAGGTCCATAAAATACAAAAAAGATGTAAAATGAATTTTTATATGTTTATGTCTAAAAACTTGTCTAAATTGTTACCCATTGTTCCAGAAGGATAGCGAACCAGAACAGTTCAGAAAAATTTTCATTGGTGGTTTGTCATACGAAACCAATGAAGATGGTTTAAAGAAACATTTTGAAAAATGGGGCAGAGTTGTAGATGTGGTGGTCATGAAAGACCCGCGATCTAAAAGGTGAGGTGTTTACTTGTAGCATTAAAAAAAAAATTTTATCCAATGCAAATTATCTAACGGCATGATCCTGTATGTATGCAACTCTTTCTACCAATGTTGGTATTAATGAAAAATTCCGATAAGAAGGGAATTGCTGATTGGTATAACTCTTACTTTCCAGTGTAAAAAAGGGATGGTTTAGTGCACTCTGATATCATATCATTCTTTTAAACTATTGGGCAATTAATTTTTCGTGTAAAATCATGCTCAAAGGCAAGTGATAAAAATGTTATGTGTGCTTGTGCATGGGTTTAAATTCATCTATTGTTGTTATGTGAAATATGCCCAAAGCTTGTTCAATATATGAATGTTAAGCTTAAATTTTACTATTCATAAACTGTTTATCAAATAAAAAAAATTGGGGGGGGGGGGGGTAAAATTTCTGAAATTTCACATTTCATTTTTCAATAACATTCAATATTGTTGTACCAGGTCACGAGGTTTCGGTTTCATTACGTATGAGAAGGCAGAGCAGGTGGATGAAGCCCAAGAAGCCAGACCACATAAAATAGATGGCAGGGAAGTGGAGACCAAGAGAGCTACACCCAGAGAGGTACAAACAGCACTAATTTGAACTTATTTATGATTTATTATTTAATTGCATAAATACAGTTCCATACTCAAACTGCCCTTTGAGCTTCAGCATTGTCTATTTACAGTTTGGATAATACATTCATGCCATGGGTGAACTGTGTATGTAATTATTGGTGAGATAGTGCTTGTGGAAAAATATCAGTTTTGGTTTTACCTGTGTTATCTTGAAAGATAGCAAGTGTATGCTTGGAGTTATAAATATCAAGAAGGATAAAGGCAGTATGCCATTCATATATTTATAATTGAATTGCTACATATCTTAAGTGTGTATGTTTATTAAGTGTATGGTTTTCTTAGGATTCAGGCAAGCCAGAGGCCCAGGCAGCCTCCAAAAAGATCTTCATTGGAGGTTTGAAGGAAGAGGTGGAAGAGAAACATCTCAGAGATCATTTCTCAGAGTTTGGGAATGTTGAATCTGTGGACATCATTACAGACAAGGACACCAAAAAGAAGCGAGGGTTTGCCTTTGTCAGTTTCAATGACTATGACCCCGTGGATAAGATAGTGTGTAAGTGGGACATATTTTTATTTCTTTGAAATGAAGAAAAAGTTTCACACAAACGCAAACTTTCAAATAAATTAATAAGTGCTTGTTGAAGTGTCACAGAATTGAGTTGATGTGTTTGGATGACTGATAAAAAACATGTTTGAAAACTAAGTTCAGTTTGTAGGGATGCCTGAAAAAAGGAATAGCATTTATTGTAGAGTTCATTTTTTATCCTGCTGCACTTGTTTATCTTTCAGTGAAGCGTAATCATACTATCTGTGGCAAGAGCTGTGAGGTGAAGAAAGCTCTGTCTAAACAAGAACTACAGGCTGCCAAGGAACGTGCAATGGAACGCAACATGGGCGGCGGAGGCGGTGGCATGGGGCGTCATGGGGGACGTGGAGATTTCCGTCAGGGTGGAGGAAGGTTTGACAGAGGAGGTAATAAATTATACGTAAAAATCTTTCCAAACAAGTGAATGCAGGGCATTTTTATACTTATGTGCCTTTGGTACTTGCCAAAGTAACTTTATTTATAATGACAATCCATTATTTGACTTGTTGTTTGTATTTGGGAGCACCATATGATGAAGAGACTTGGGACGTAATCATCATACTTCAGTTGAAAAGCTGTTGATGACATCTACTTTTTTCTCTGATGATGTATCCCCAATGAAATATCAATGCAATATTGTAGATTATGCATAGATGTTAATGTTTTTAAATTTTACAATTAAGCTGGTTTTGCCAGAACAAGATTATGCTTGAAATACGTAATATGCTGTCAGATTTGTCCATTTATCTTTTGAGTAATTAAGTGGAAATAGTACGAGCTGATTTATGAAAATGTGATCAATTTTTGATTGAACATGTAGCCTCTAATATGTCTATAAGCTTTTCATTAATTTTTTTAATGTTTTTGTGTGGTTAAAGTGATACTGTTGATCAATTAAATGGAAATTTCAGTATCTGTCAAACTAAATAAAAATTGTAAAATTAAAAACAAGTGCCTTGACAAGTGTTTTTATGAAAAATGACACTTTTCACAATTTTTCCCCAGGTGGCCGCAACTTTGGTGGTGGTGGCGGCGGTGGAAACTTCAACAGTGGTGGCTACGGAGGTGGCGGTGGAGGATATGGTGGCGGCGGAGGTGGTTATGGAGGAGGTATGTATTGCACTAGTTCATCGGGTTGCACAAGATTTTCAGTGCATTTATATGTGTTTGTGTGTGCGCTAGATCTGTAATTGACTAGGCAAATGGTTTTTAATATACAGTATAGTTTGTTTTGCCAAAAGATTAGATTCATTGGTCTAACCCCATTATTAATCTGGCTTGGGACTTTTCTATTACTATTTAAAACTTGGTACTTCTTCTAACAAATTAGTGCTTTCACAAAGTGGATATTTCTTTGCATGTCTTGGTATATATGGGGTTGCTCTTACTCACTGTTGTGGAATATTTGTTAACATTCTGTGGTGTGGAAGGTCTGGATGCTCACAGCTGCTATTTAGAGATAGCATTGGGTTGACATCAGGTTGCCAATGCTGGGGAACTTTGCTGATATCCTAAGTTTAGTTTTGATCTGCTGTGGTCAACCAAACTGGGGCATCTTTGACAGGCTTTGTCTAGAGTGATATGGTTTTCATTTGTGGGTATTTCACTTCTCTTTACTCAGGATGTATTTTTTTTTATTGTAGTTTTCAACTCTTGCTTTGAGTTTTCTGTAGCAACTGTAGTCTGTGGGGCTTTCTCTTTTATAAATGTGTCAGCCTTACCAGTAACAAGAGTGGATGGAATTGTATGTGATCTTTGCTTTCATGGCAGAATCTATCTAGATTAAGTGACTGTAGAATAGATTTCTAACATTAAGTCCAGACCAGTTGGAAGTGCAAAAAGTTCAGTAAGTTATCCAGCAATTTTGGTGGTCCTTTCTCACATTGTAGCCTGGTTTGATAAGAAATAGTAACCACTCCTGCAACAGCTTGTAGTTATTTCCAGTATCTGACCTGGCTCTTTAAATGCCCTTTTCACACAAAGTTTTGCTGTGTATAGACATTCCCTCCGGATTCTTGCAGGGTCTGATAGGGGCAATTGGCAAGGGGGCAGCGGCCGGAACTTTGGGGGCGGAAGTGGCGGAGGAATGATGGGAGGAGGCGGAGGAGGAATGATGGGTGGAGGAAACATGGGCGGTGGCTTCGGAGGAGGAGGCTCAGGTCAGTATGCTGTTACTCTGTGTGTGTGTTAGCGTAGTGTGATTTCTTTGGTGCACATCTTCTTTTTGGCCTCCATGGTCAGGTCACTACATCTAGGTGTTATATTAGTCAGCATACTGGTAGAAAGAGCTCTTATTAGAATAGGACACAGTATCAACTTTGACAAAGTTTGTTGTGTGATTTTTACATTTTTTTTTTCTATTCGTGTATATCAAATTAAATTATATCAAAATGCTTCAGAATGTGGTCAGGATATTTCCCAATTGTTGGAGGGTATAGGTGTGAAGTGGACCATTTCTTGTTAGTCATCATCATGCTGCAGGCTGAACCTAGCAAGTTAAATTGGTTATTTAGGCAGTAGAGGCATTAAGTTTCAGGAGGTTGACTTAGATGTGAAGTCTTTCTTTGATTAAACTGTTGGCTTTAAAATCTGAGTTGTCCATGTACAGGAATTATTCAGGATTATTCAGTCAATTCTGGTTAGCGTAGAAGCATGTGTTGTTATGGAGAGGTGAAAAATAAATTTTTGACTCTCAAAGTATTTTCAATTAAAAGGTATAGCGTGCAATTTGCAATTTCATATATTTATATTTTACAGGTGGAGGTGGCAACTACGGCAGTGGAGGTGGTGGCTACGGCGGAGGTGGCGGCGGCTATGGAGGCGGCGGTGGTGGTTACGGAGGTGGCTCTGGAAGTTATGGCGGCAACCAAGGAGGTGGCTATGGCGGGGGCAACCAAGGTGGCTACCAAGGAGGTAGTCAGGGTGGCAACTATGGCGGCGGGCCAGGGGGCTATGGTGGCGGTGGCCAGAGCGGAGGATTTGGTGGAGGCGGTGGTGCCAACAACTACGGCGGTCCAGGAGGTGGCTACAGCAACCAAGGTGGGGGCTCAGGCAGTTATGGAGGTGGCAACTTTGGCAGCAGTGGAGGGCAGGGCAATTTTGGAGGTAGATGAAAGAAAACAGTGGTTAGCTGTAGTTAGTGGGTTGGTAGTTACGAATTTCATTTTGATTGACAGCGTTGGTTTGCTTTAGCCAACATGGTGCTGATACTGCATGCCTTCCTTGCCTACAGTATTTGTAAGCCAGATCAATTTTCATTTACCTGCTGTTTAAGAACTTACTTGACAATGAGTTTATTGTTTGGATTACAGGTAGAGGAAACAAAACTGCTAAGTTTTTTTTTAGATGTAATCAAGACAGTGTTATGTTCATTTGGACTATGAAGTTTGTGTTGGCATGTTTTCTTTTAACTTTTCCAAAGTTCTGTACAGGTTGCTAAGAAAATTGTTGGTCAGCTTGTAGATGCAATCAGATTTTAGTGGTAACTGATAATGAATAGGATGCTGACCTTTGAAATTATCTTAATGAAATATTGTCCTTGATTTTACATCGCAATTCTAGAATTGGCAGAATTTGAGTTGCTGGCTTATATAAAGCCAGAGAGACCCACTTTAACTAGGACCTGCTTTGATGTGTAATTCCTCTTTGTTTCTACTACTCCTTTGTTGATGACTGCTTTAGGTGGCGGAGGCGGGCCCCAAGGTGGCTGGGGCGGAGATTACGGCAATGGCGGAGGTAGTGGCGGCGGTGGCTACGACAACTACAGTCAAGGGGGCGGTGCCATGAAATCTCAGAACTACACACAGAGAGGATCAGGTCCCTATGGCGGTATGGCATAATATCTGTTTCTTGTTAGGAAAGATTGGGATAAAATATTCTCTCTTTGTTTCCAATGCAAGTGGTAAAGAAAGCAGTGTTATTTTCAGTTTTAAGTTTGGTTTTCCAAAGGTAATTATTGTTAAATGACAGCCAGGGAAACCTGTTATAAAAGCACACATTTCATAGTTTATGTAAATTATTAACTTAGGCGAAATGAAATGCATTTTTTTTTTTTTTTTTCAGTTTTTTTTTTTTAATTTGATTTGATGTAAAATAAAGTGTAAGGAATGCTAGTCAAGTAATATCTCCTTGATTTGAAGGTCTGATCTTAAAACTTTCAGGTGGCTATGGCCCAGGTGGAGGTGGTGGTCAAATGGGCGGTGGATACCAGAGTGGTGGGGGTGGCTATGGCGGTGGGGGGAACTTCCGCCGCTAAGCCCTCAACTAGCTCTCTCTGACTGGTTTTGTTGGCAAGAGGTGAGTGGGGGGCTCAGTGATACCTTCAAAGATTGGGAAGGACTTTTTATCTCATGGAAGATGGCATTTGTGTGAAAGGACTTCAGAACTTGCTAAGTTATTTAGATTTGAAATGAAAGTAAACTTCTCAGTTGACAATTGGCTAAATTAAGAGTAAGATTTTTTATCCTGCAAATCTCTAGATATGGTAGATTTTCCGATCTCAAGATAGACTGAAGCATTTCTTTGAATAGTGACTTGTTAAGAGGAAGATTCAGAATTTTAAGACCAACTCTTGTATGTCATCAGATATTGCAGGTGTGAGTTTATGAGTAACTTTGCCCTTTGGGAATGTTTATTTAATGTACATGTTTTTATTACCTTGAATTTTAGGCAGCAAAGTGTAAATAACAAAGTAAACTCCTGGTTATGTCCAGCATTGTAGACTTTTAAGAGAAGGAACTAAGTATAGAGAAACAGCAGGGTGGAAAAAAGTGACCCATTTTTAACCTCAGCGCAACTCATCAAAATAAGGAAGCTATTGATTATCAGCAAGGGTTGTAGATAATGACCCAAACCCTAGAGACAACATAAGTTCCCACAGAGAAGGCAAGATAGCACACTTCAAGAGATTACAATAGCTACTACCAGATCCCAGATTGATTTGGAAAAGTATTCTCATCGGGACCATATTATAAGATGTGTACATAGAATAAGCAGTGAAAGCTAACTTGTGGTGTAAAGGTTTGTTGAACTGCCCTGCCTGGTTGTTTGCAAAAGAGGAGACAATATGAATAGAAATAGGATTATTTTGGTAATTTTTTAAAATAAACTGATAAGTAGATGTGACACTGCCCTATCATAAAATGATGCCGCAGAAAAAGTTTCAAAAACAATTCTCTTGCACCTGTGAATTTTAATCATAGTGACTGAACGTGGGTTCAATTTTAAAATCCGTTTTGTGAATTTACTTTTTACTTGTTTCACTATTGTGGACTCCTGATTGTATAAGAAAAAAATAAATAAATGTGTAAATATGTAAAAAAAAAGCCTGTGTTAGTTAGGTCCGTAGTTTGTTGTCTTTGAAAGTTTTGTGTATGCTGTAACTTGTTGGGCAAATTGCTTGTTCTCTTTATTCTTCCGCTTTCTGGGGGATGTGCAGGTTGAAAAAAGATGCAGCTGAGATTGGAATTGCTTTAGTCTGCCAAAAATTAGAAGTTGCAAAATTAAGATAGACAACTTTTAAATTGGAAAAGAGAATCACTTGGTCTTAATCTCACTTTTGAGTCATTTTGAAGTTATTTAAATATATTTATTGGTTGTTGAACAGTCTCTTTTATATAAAAAGTAGATGTGCTCAAAACATGAAAAGATTGGAGAACAGAGGCCTTATGGAGAACTGCACAACCTTTCAACTGTCTGTCTTTACCTGTTTTATGTTTAGATGATATGAGGTGGAAGGTGTGTATTATCTGCAGTTTCAGGGGGCAGGAAGATTAATTTTTTATTATTTTTAAAAATTTTTTCTGGGTTAAACATTAATTGGGTGATTTTTTTTTTTTTTTTTTACAAAATAAGTCAACTAATTTTTGTCTCCCATGAAGCAACAGTTTATATAACCGATGGTTTTTGCCATTGAAGAAATGGGGTCACTTTACAAAGCAAAGAGAATGAGCGAGTAATAATTACTTGTATTGCACAAACTCGAATCTTGTGATAAAAATCAAAAGTTACATGGTGAATTGTATTGCTTGGAATACCAGTTGAAATTTAAGTAGCAAAGTGAAGTCAGCAGAGGCTAGCTAGCATGGTTCGATGACAGCTTAGCCAGTTAGCCTTGTGTATACATGATGAAGAAGGCAGCCAGGTAGACAGTTATGTACATGTTGAAGATGCAAGTTAGCCATATAGATGATGAAGAACAGGCCAGTTAGCCAGCTATCAGCTCTCCTCAGCATTACTGAAGATGTTAGTGGTTAGCATCGATGGACGCCATTGAGGGTAAGATGAGGGAGAAATATGTAGTGGTACAGTAGTCAATGAGGGGAGAGCTTTGTAAGATGAATATCAAGTATGAAACCCTGCTAGTATGATGATTGTGGAGCACTGTAAGTAGTGTGGAAGACTAAAAAATGGTTATACAATTATAATATTTCAAGATATTTTGAGATGTAGAATAGATATCTAGTAGTAACACTTTCTTTTAGTAGCTAGATATCCAGTTCCAATTTCTCCCCCATATTAGTTTTCATTGCTGACCAAAACTACTTTCTACATATTTTCTAGCTAAGTCTCACAAGTTAAAATCCAGTTTTAGTGGTAACCAAAATATCACATAAATGATCAGTTTTACAGTGGCTTCATTTCCAGCTTTAAAAAAATTGAATCATTTTACTAATTAAAAATGTGTTTGAAATTTATTTTCAGACTTTTATGTTCACAAATTGTTCTTTTGGGTACTCTTCAGCTTGGATGCTTGTAGGATGAAATGGAAATATGTTGCAGAAAATATTAAATTGTTTATAAATATTAAAGTTTTTAGATCACAGCAACAACAAAAGAAATTGTCTTTTAACAGTTTTCACCATTTTTTGCTGAAATGTAATTCATTAGGCTATCAAAATGTGTACCACTTAGATCAAAACTAAAAGAAAACTATTGAAAATTTTATTAAAACATTCATCAGTTGACTTGAAATTTATTCCATTTTTTTCTCTTACATTTTTGATGTAGATTTTCAAAATTTCTTGCAAGTGCAAATGATGATAAATTGTCATTGATGAGACTTTCCGAACTAGAATTAACATGGCTGAAATTTAAATATGCATAATTTGTACACCATTTAATTTAGGGACCAAAATGTCTCACTAATGCGGACAGTGGTAAACAAATGCACATTTTTTCTGAACATTAGGTACTGGTAGCACTGAGGAAAAGGATGTTCCAACCACAAGCCAGCTCCAATATGGCTGGAGGAAACGTGCAAGGCAGAAGCAGATGGGTTAGTACCACCATTTTGATAGAACTGATGTGCAGTTATATCATTGTGTATGTGCGATGTGTAAGTTAACTGTTTGGTTGTATGTGGGAAAGATCGAACTTGTTAACAGGAATGAGCTCTTGCTTGTTATAGGCTTAATCTTTTTACTTATTGAACTAAATTAAAGTTATACCTTGAAAAGCTTTCTGTCACTCTGTGACCTTCATCAGTGTCTCCTACCATGAGACTCGTATCAACAGATTACACAGATGAATTTCCATTAGAATAGGAATTGGCTCTGATTGGACATGTTACCTTTCCTTAAATTGATTAGTAATTGTCATAACTACAAATTGCAACTTAAAATGGCTTAATTTGAACCTTATTCGATACACTGATGCTGTGAAATTTCAGGTTGGCTGTGCTTAGAAAGTTGTGTGTGTATCCAGCAACGAGTTGGGATAATCTGTTGGGATCACCTCAGAACCTATATATCAGGTACCCTTTTTCCGCCTCGATAATCCTCGTGCATTAGGGATAATTATAACTAATGATGGTCAATGGTGGAAACGGCTATTCAGTAGAAAAGTTGCACATTAACACTTAACTAATTCCTAAAAAATGCACAGGCAGTTATCAATGTTGCTGTTCAATGTTTGTACGTTGGATTGTGACAGATTCTAAGTTACCTTTTTGCCCAACGTACCTTTCAAACATGAAAGTCACTCGTTCTTGTCTCCATTTGCAGGTCACTTGAAAACTGGCCGTGATGCATGATTCCTCGCGGCAGCATCGGGGTGGCACAGGAATTGAATTCAGCGTCTCAAGACCGTATCCCTGTCATGAATTATGGTGACAACATGTAGAATGATTTAGCTGGCCAGGCATGACGTTTGATTCCGGATACGCTCAATATTCACGTGTCACAGTGTCGGGTTTCACGTCTAATGTATCGATTTCACTATCATTTAAATTATCTGAAATCCTCAGTGACACGCCTGACAAGACTGAAGGACAAACGATGAGCCTGACAAGACTTAAGGACAAATTATTGTGTAACTGGAGTCATGAGTCACACTAAGAAATTTGAAAGTGAAGAAGACTTGAGAGAAGGTGATATAAACAAACTATGAAACATTTCCTTTGTCTTACAAAGAGATGGGACAGTCCTGATATTATCTGAAAAATGTACAAAGAAATGCTCAGGTGTGAAATTTTTTTATCAGTAGGTGTATAAATAAAGAATCGCTGTGAATGGGTGTTGCCAGTTTTGCTAAATCTGTGAGATTATTAAGAACAGGTTCGTGAAACCAACTTGTGATACCTGTACGTTACTCGTTAGACACACGCTAACATGAAATTGTTTTCATTCTGTGTCGGGTTTTTACGAATGCATTTTTTGGCTCAATCAAACAAGACTAACCGGGGGAAAGAAAACGTGAAATACGCTATGAAGCGCATTGTAACTGATCTAAAAGCGAAGTGGTTGTTACATAATAGATATAAAAATTACTCAGATACGAAAATCGATATTATTTTGCAAAATGTCTCGTATTTACACGTTGAATTGTGACGGATTCTAAGTTACCTTTCGCTCAACGTACCTTTCCAGCATGAAAGCCCCGATTTGTCAGGAGTGTTATGAATCTAATATGACAATCTTACACATTTTAACCAAGAATTTAATTAATCTTAGGCTATGATATCCATTTCTTACATTCCTTCAGGTGGCAAGGGTGATCCGTGTTGCTTAACTGTCTTAACGGTTGCTTAACACAATAGGAACCAAAGGTGGACATTTCAAGCAAAAATTAATTTTTTTCAAATTTGTTAATGATCTACTTGATGAGATCGTCACATAAAGTTATTTGAACACTTTTGAAGATAATGAAATGCTAATAGTCAGATTTTTAAAAAGACTGAAGAATTGAGGTGAATAAGTGTTTTCCTATGTCAAAAGTTGATCCATTTCCCTTAACTTTGCATCAGTAACCAACGGGCGATTTAGAGTTGCACGGGACTTGAAGAACTGTCTTGCTGAATACAGCCAGAATCGATCATAAGGCCCTTTCCCCACCCCTACAACCTACAGTCCTGACACCTGTTTGTGAAAACTACTTGACAATATTATCCAGTACGTAGGTTCCAGTCCTTAAGTTTTATTAGTTCAAGAGCTGCAATAGAAAATGTTCTCGTTCTATTGGTTGTTGTTTTTCCTGCCCTTCATTCAAACATGTATTGCAACGTTACAGGTTGATTATTCATTTTGATGAGTTTATTAATTATCAAGAAAATGGTAAATAGTATACACATACAGCTGCTTTATATTGTTGTTTTGTTTGTCGTTTAAAGATTCTTTCAGTGCTTGCGTGATATCTGTACAAACAAAAAGGCATGTTCTGCTTGAATGCCGAATGACTAAACAACTAAGAGCAGTATGAATTCAACATTAATAGCAGGGACGGATACAGCATTACTTGAGGGGTTATTAGAAAGGACAAGACGCGGATGCAAAGCCGCCCCCCCCCCCCCCCAAGACCTCCGCCAAGGCAGCAATTTTTTTATTATGATTGATTGATTGTTTATTGATCTGTATCACCACCAAAAAATCATCTCTTCCTTGGCCCACTTCTGACAGTTCCTGAAAATTTCATCAAAATCGGTCCGTAACTTTTTGAGTTATGTTGATGGCAGACAAACAGACAGACAAACAGGGGTGAAAACATTACCTCCTTGGCGGAGGTAATAAATGTCATAATCATTACAATTATTCACTAGCTCATTTATTTATTTATTTATAAAATCATTTACCTATATCTGAAGCACTTGCTTTGGTTGAAATCTCTCTCTCCCGTGTTGACTAGAACAGATAAGTAATCAAACCATCAACCACATATTTAATAATTCAATGTCATTTACTCTAATGGGTAAAATTTATTTGTATAAAAATATCCAAACAATCAACAGATCACTTTCTCAATAGAATCAAAGATTAAGAGGCTTTCAGCTGACGGTGGACTGTTTACAAAAACGCCCGTGAAAGGCATAAAATCCATGTAAAATAAGAATAAATACTTTTTCGTTTTTTTACTTCAAATTCAAATGTTGGCTGTCGTTCTCCCCGGGAAGTTAAAAAAGCCTGCACAAGTAAGAGAATCATGGCGACAACCGGTAGAAATTCGTATCACCTGTTTTTTTTTTTTTTTTTTTTTTTTTTTTTTTTTCTTTTTCGTCTAATGAGGCCATAGTGGGTACCTGGGCGGAGGGGGGTGGGGGTGCACAATCTAAAAATAGTGTTGATAAAAGAGTTCTGACCACAAATCGATCTTCACACATAGATTTTGAGCCTCTCTAAGTGACCACAAGACAATGCTGTTTTCATCATGTAAGGTTGATTTTATACCACAGAAATTCACTTCCTTACAATCACCAAAATCTCACCTAGACCTTGTCAAACAAAGGCACATTTCCAATTTAATTCTTTTCGATTCTGAAAAATTATAATCTTTGACATATTCTATTGCTAGATACAAATATTTTCCCATACTATTTTTGGTATTTAGAGAGGACGAACGGTGTCATTTGGTACGGCTTAGAACAATGAATCAGCTGGTCAAAATTCTAATTTCAAGAGGGGCCCAATGTTGTGATTTTTTTAAAAAATCGAAGGGGGGGGGGCAGGACCCCCCTTAAATTCCCCCTCCTCCTAAATCCGCCACTGTTTTCCTACAGCACACTGTAGCTGATGACAAACACCAAACACCGCAGTGCGTCAGGAGGGCGCCAGGGAGCGATGCGCTGCAAACAACACATTACATTCACAAATGGAGGTGAAGGCTATCTAAGGAAATGTGCATTTACTCATATATAAAGTGTGGTGCAAGGAAGTTCTTAGCTTCCAACCTCACTTGTTGATGTTTACAAACAAACTTGAGTTTATAGGCCTATACAACCTAAGAACAGGCCTATTTCCGCACTTAAACATTGAGAGAAGTCTAAAAAACGCATTATGACACGTTCAAAAAATTTAATTGTTTAATGAAAAATGTAATTTTGACACAGGTCAAGGATGTATTAAGTTTAATTTACTTGTGTAGGCGTGCGATTTTCACCCAAAAGNTCGTTTAAACTTGAAACTGAATCGATGGGAAGGCAGTGAATCGACGAAACATAACTAAATCGACGACAGGATTTTTTGCCCTTTTGGCCGCCCATGAAGGCTATCTAAGGAAATGTGCATTTACTCATATATAAAGTGTGGTGCAAGGAAGTTCTTAGCTTCCAACCTCACTTGTTGATGTTTACAAACAAACTTGAGTTTATAGGCCTATACAACCTAAGAACAGGCCTATTTCCGCACTTAAACATTGAGAGAAGTCTAAAAAACGCATTATGACACGATCAAAAAATTTAATTGTTTAATGAAAAATGTAATTTTGACACAGGTCAAGGATGTATTAAGTTTAATTTACTTGTGTATCACAAACGTTATTAAGAAGCACGCAATCGGATGATTATCAATTTACACAATTACAAGTTGTCTTAAAATTTCCACTGTGAACCTCTACGAAAAGGAACTGTAGTGGCCAACAAGATTTTCAATTCTGAAACCCTTTAACTTCTGAATATTTTGACTGTTATGATAACCACTTTTTTCTCGGTCTTCGCCTTATTTTTCGCTTCAAAGAAAAAAGAGAGAGAGAAAATGTCCTAATAAAATTCAACCTTAAAGAACACAAATAAATAGAAATGCAGTCAAAATTTCAATGGTTTGCCGATATCCATTTTCACTCACTTGAAAACCTTAGACACGCATTTTTTCAACCTTTATATAATAATTATAATCGTATATCTTAGGCGTGCGATTTTCACCCAAAAGTCGTGTCGTCTGCAAAGCGCGGGGTCAGCGCAACCCTGAGGCACGTTTACTATTTGTTCCTCATTCATGCAATGATTGTGTTAGTGCAGAAAATTTCTTTCTCGCCAGATGACGAGTGAAAACTTTGATAAGATTTTTTTAATCACCTTCAAGATCATCAAGTCATCAAGACCATCACCATTACAGATCTCTGATATGAACATCACTTCCGGCCCGGTCTTATATTACTTTAGGGGACTTAATTTGCATATAAGAGAATAAATGCATTTTTTTCTGATTCTGGCTCGTCTCCGATTTTTTCATTATTTTCAGAAACTAATGTCCTCTTTTGCTCAAAAATTGGAATACTTTTGATCCCAATGCACTGTTTGAAAATCATGTAATTAGAAATAACTTTTATATCACAGACGTGTATCACGTTTTCACTCTACAGCCATAAAACTCGTTAGCTGCATGGGTATAAAAGTAGGTCAATTGCCTGTATAAAATTGCCATACGATTATTGATTTTTTAGTGTGGACCGTTTTTGGGGGGAGACCGTAGTGGGAGATGTATTAAGGTGCTAGCAAAATGTTTGTGTCGCATGGGGTTACTGAAAGCAGATTATATTGCAAAGATTATATTGCAAAGAGAGTAAAAGTAGCCTACACCTCCAGCTTTACCACTGGCAATACCATGGAGGACTTTATAGATGCCACGGTCCCCCTCTATTTCATCTGACTCTCCCTAAAATTTTATTGACCGCGTTAACTGTTCAGCTCCCGGGAAGCGCGGAGCATCCAGCGTGGTGGCAGACGCAGGTGCTCTGCAGACGGCACATGCATTCACAAGAGGGGGTAAAGGTTTTGTAGGAAAATGTATTTAATTACATCCGGGAATAACGTGATAAAGGAAAGAAATATGACTTATTTGAATTTATATTGATCAAAGATACTGGTATTTCTACTCAAAATTGACAGAATAAAAAAAATGCAAATGGAGATAACCTATCTCCCCTCAGAACCATTCCAAGGCATATCCTATCCGCGAGCTTTTGACCTACTTTCTAATGGCTTTCGCACTCCTGTACACGCTGAGTTTGTATGGTAGAAAGCGGGGCGAGGGGGGTGGGGGGGGAGCGAATTTATACTATAGCATAATTTTTTGGCTCATGAACAGTATTACACACAGGTAGATTATTCGACCGAAGTATATGTTTTTTTACATGTTTTATTTTATACAATAAAACATTTTATTTTAAAAGATAGACCTGAATTGAGGGCGTTGTCAACGGGGAAGAGAAGTTTTTTATCCAAGCCCACAGTTGTTGATTATGCTGGTCAGCACATTCCGTACTTCATTATAATTTTGATCTGATTCGTTTTCTTTTGTGATGATTTAGCTAGGACAAACAGTGAACCGACGTACAATTAACATCAAGCATTGGATTTGGCCACCCCCCTCCCCTTCCCCCTCTCTCCCTCTCCCTTTCCCTCTCTCCCTCCCCCCTCCCTCTGTGTGTGTGTGTGTGTGTGTGTCTAATGTAGGTGTAGGGAGGGTGTATGTAGTTTTCACGTAGTCTTAGACCCCATTTCCAGAGATTAGATCGATCTACTTTAGATCGACCTAACTCCCTGGGGGTTCACGCTAAATAGCTGTCAGCCGGGCGGACACGAAAGTTAATTACCCCTTTACAGCTTGTAGTAGGCGGGACGGACATTTAAGCCGGATTATCTGACAGTAATCTAGTGAGACTCCCCGCGGGGATAGATCGATCTAAAAGCTCTGGGAATACAGCCTTACCATGCCTTGACAAGGTACCGATATCATTTTAAAAATTAAAACCCGTTTTTCATATTGGCTTCAAAATCACGGGTTTGTATTTGCTTGAAGCTGCATTTGTCGTTCAGATTTCATTTTTAATTTTAAATTATCCTTCCTTCTTTCTTTTTCATTTTTTTTTTTTTTTTTTTTTTTTTTTTTTTGCTTTCATACTGAATAAAATTTGTGATTTTCAGGTATAGATGTTATAGATAGGATTGTTCATGATTCTCTAAATAAGTGGTAATACTGCTAACAAGAATGTTTTGAATCCGTTCTCTAGCCTTCTCTAGCGCGATATTTTCTACGTTTGATACACTCCTATTTACGGTTTTGATATGCACTGTTTAAACTTGCGACTGAAGTAGGGGAGACCGGGGCTAGTTGGCCCAGTTAGACACTTTTGACCTTGTGGAGTAAACTGGGCATGAGTTAGAGTAACGAAAGAGGTTTTGAAGTAAGCACCATAAAGTAAGCTACATATGCAACGTCATTATTTTTCAAATATAATGCCAGATATATTGAGGTTTCTATACGTTACGTTGTATGTGTTGTAAGAACCAAAATATCTATTAATTAAACTTTTGTTTTAATCAAGAATAAGCTAATAATGGTATTAAGCAGGTTTTTTAATTAATGAAAACGAATAATAAATTTTCGTTTTAAAAGAAACTAACAAATTCAGTCTTTAACTGGTAATTATTTAACAAACCATTAACTTTGCTTTAACAATTGTCTATAGATTTGTGGATTGTGGTCTATATGAGGGTCCAACTTGCCCAGAGCCAAGGGGGCCAACTAGCCCCAGGTGCACAATTGTAATATTTAAGGATTGCAGCCGTTTATGGTGCAAGAATGGACTGCGTTAAAACATTTTTCTAAAATTTCAAACAATTAGCTTTAGTTTGATGCCCTATACGTATACTTTATTCGATCAAAAGCATATGAAAATAGATTTTTAAGTGCAAAAATCGTTTATTTGGACTCACCGCTTAAGTAAAACTTTTCAACGTCCGACACTTCCTTAGCATTGTAGGCTACAGTCACATTACAAGAGTATGTGGCCATTTTTTTTACATCGTAGTTTCTTTTTCATAAATTGACGGGGGGCCAACTTACCCCGGGGTCCAACTAGCCCCGGTCTACCTTATGATGGTGATGAAGATGAACGTGCCGAGATTTAGTGTATATTCGAAATGATAATAGACAAAATAATCTTCAGATTTAATTGAAGTTCAGTTTATTTTCCATGAAAGTTGTCCGATATCTTATTGATTCATGAGCCGATATATGGGTTACAACATCTACTTTATGTCCGAGTGGCAACAGCAGCTGTTCACGATTCACTGCCAGAGACTTTGTGCTTGCCTTGCTTGTATCTGTAATAAAAATACAAGCGTAGATAATTGATAGCTATGTACGGTAATAGAAATAAGAAGAAGAAGAAGAAGAAACGTAAACGATAGAAAAACTCTTACGTCCTGTTCGAAACTTAAAGCACCACTGCATCACAAACAGTCACCATTTTAAAAGGACACATACGCGACACAAGTCAAAGACGGATTGTCGAGCAGAAGTTCATTAAAATATCAAAGATTTTAAAAAAATATTATCCTTGTTTTATTGTTACGAAATCTTCAAGACGTTAACCTTTATCGCGCACTTTTAACTACCTGTCCCTTTTGCAGCATCACGTATCCATTTTGGTCCCTGAAGAAGGCTCACAAGCCGAAAGCTCGGGCATTTTTCACCTTTCAATGTTAACCTGTATAGATGCGTTTTAGTGTAATTTTTTTACGTAAAGATACGGAAGATGCGAATGAAAAATACGTATTTTTATTCATCAGCCATAACAGTTAATTATCATAAAAGAGGTCTGTTATCTGATTCTGGTCCTAGTTGTGAATGAGGCCAGAGACAACCGCAAAGAGAGAGAGAGAGAGAGATACTACACTCTACCAGAGTCATAGACAGATTTTTCATTGAATATTCACAGATAAAATGTAAAGATGTCTTTAGTAATTTTTAAAGAAAGATTCTTGTTTATGATTTGAACGCAAAGGACGACCACGTTAGTTACGTTATGTAAAAGCTATCATCTGAGTCCTCAAGGGAGTCGAACTTCCAACACGGAGGTACTTTGGGTAGATCAATAATAATAATAATAATAATAATAATAATAATAATAATAACACAATGTCTCTCTTGCTCTTTCTTGAATCTTTCGATGCACACGAAAATCGTTGCATAAGTTAGCTCAGCACCTGTGCTAATCATATTTTGAAAATGCGGACTCAATTTTAAACCTGCATTACTGTCGCTCGTAACACCACATCACTTTCGCCTTATTTTCAATTAGAAACAAACGTCTCAAAAATATCTTAAACAAGGCAATAAATAACTTGCAGCTACTTTTGCGTGTTGCCTGGCTTTTAAAAACTGGCAAATCCTTCGTGGCGTCTTTTTGCTGCAAATCATTAATTTTAGTTGTTTGATGCCTATGAAATTTTTTAGCCATTAATAAATATCTTCAATTTATTTAAAAACAATGATTGTAGGTCCCATAGGGTATTTTCCTTACCCGTGAAAACCAGTTACCATTTTACGAGATGGTCGCAACGTTCTTATTAATAAGCGTCATCCGTGAAGAATCCCTTTCCGGTGACTCGTGAATGCGGGTTTTTATCACTCGTCCCTAGTGAAACGAAGTCATTATACTCGGTGATAGTTATTTTCAGCTTCGAGGGCTCGCATTTTCAAGGACATATGAATGAACTTTTGAAATAATTTATGTGTTTTGTGATTTTATGACTGTGGTCACTCCCGCCTCCCCCTGGGAACAGTCAAATGTTTTACACGACATAACTTCAATCTCTTGATTAGAAGGCCATATGCAAGACCTTCGTTGCCAGGCATTGTGAAAAATATACTTGAAATTGGGGTCAAAATGTAGGCTTTTTGAAAAAATAAATGCGCATCTCATATTAGCCTACTAGCACTCGCTGTCTGTAGCACAGTCTTTGGCGCAGTCTATAAGTAATGTAGGCAAAAACGACTTTAGGGTATTTCAAGCAAGTTTAGTATACTTTGAAAGTAATTACTCTAAATGTGAAAGTCCTTAAATGCTTCATTTGCTTATAACTTGAAATTGAGTGTTGTGTTGGCAGAGCTTAGATCCAGCAAAAGTTGAAGCAAATAATAAACAAATAAATAAAATAAAATTAATAAATAATAAAAATGGCAAAAAAAGAATATAAAATTACCTTTTGGTGTAAAACTTATATAATAAATCAATATCTAAACGAAAAATCTAAAGATATAATAACTTGGGATGCAGAGTGAAACGGAAATGTGACCGGATGTACCGAGATGTGACTGAGTATTCACTGCGGGTTTTCTTTGACCTACTTAGTCTACATAATTTGGCGGGAATATCTTACACGTTATGAAATAAGGACAAGATATGTTTGCGAGTAATCATCAAAGTTTGATCTGAAGCAGTAGGACATTCCACGATCCCTGCATCCCTTTTAATGTATACATTCTTGATGACAGAAGGGTGAGCACTTTGTTGTAGCAATTCTGTTGGTAGATATATATCAGAATGCTTTTGAGGTGCCACAGTCAATCATGTCCTGCTGCAGCACTGCCCCCCCCCCCCCCCGTGACCGGCGACCACTGGGGCGCCTCGTTTAACAACCTATACAGATATCTTCTCGCCAAAATGTTAATACATTGTGAAAGTATAGAATAGTATAATCTGAGATAATTTCTATGTAATCAGGATGAAGGCTGATCACTGTCCTGAAAAAAAAGTAATCTGAGATAATTTCTATGTAATAAGGATGAAGGCGGATCGCTGTCCTAAAAAAAGTAATCTGAGATAATTTACATAATCAGGATGAAGGTGAATTGCTGTCCTAACAAAAGTAATCTGAGATAATTTCTATGTAATCAGGATGAAGGCGGATCACTGTCCTGAAAAAAAAGTAATCTGAGATAATTTCTATGTAATCAGGATGAAGGCAGATCGCTGTCCTGAAAAAAAAATGTAATCTGAAATAATTTCTATGTAATCAGGATAAAGGCGGATTGCTGTCCTGAAAAAAAAGAAAGTATTGTGAGTAAAGAATACAGTGCAATATTGAAATATTTGTTTTGGTTAATTCTTACATTTCTGATTATCAATTTCCAATAAACTTGACAACTAATCAGCTTATCACAAATTTTTATTGTTGTCAATCATCACTTGTAAAAAATTTCATAAATATTGGACAAGATTTGTCAAAATTATTAACGTTTAACTATTTTAAGTTGTGGAATTTGCCAGTGTTTTCAGTGTAATTTTCAATTTTCTCAAATATATCGTCCGAAGAAAACACTATTCATTAGACACAGTCAGCTGATCAGCTTGTCACAGATTTTTATTGTTGTTTAGCATCATTTGTATAAATTTCAGAAGTATTGGACATGATTTGACAAAATTATTTACGTTTAACTATTTTAAGTCTTTGGATTTGCCAGTCTTTTCAATGTAATTTTCATTCTTTTTTCAGTTATATTGTTCTTTTTCCAGAGTTCCCTTACCATGAGAAAGCAGACAGTGAAAGACGAGATCAAGAGCAGCACCATGTCTTGTCCATGTGTACAATACATGATATGAAGCAAGATTTAGGGCATTGTCAAGTATTGTGGTAGCAGCAACCCATTCCAGAAACCCATTGTAAGGGGGAATCTGCATCTGGCATTGATAGTAAGGAGAAGTCCTGTATGGGTATATATTGTTTTCCAGATGACAGTTCTAGGTAATTTGCAACTTGTACACAAACAAACTCAAATCACCATATTTGCTGTTTTCTTTTTTGGTAAACAATACATTGCAATATTGAAATATTTTTTGGTTAATTCTCACTTTTCTGATCATCAATTTTCAATAAACTTGACATTAAAAAAAAACAGATAACTGATCAGCTTATCACAGATTTTTGTTGTTGTTAAGCAGCATTTGTACAAATTTCAGAAATATTGGACAAGATTTGACAAAATTATTAACATTTAACTATTTTAAGTCTTGATATTTGCCAGTCTTTTCATTGTAATTTTCAGTTTTCCCAAATATATTGTCTGAAGAAAATATTTTCATTACACACAGTCAACTGATCAGCTTATCACAGATTTTTATTGTTGTTAAGCATCATTTGTACCAATTTCAGAAATATTGGACAAGATTTGACAAAATTATTAATGTTTAACTATTTTAAGCCATGGGATTTGCCAGTCTTTTTAATGTAATTTTCAGTTTTCCCAAATATATTGTTCAAAGAAAATACTTTTCATTAGACACAGTCAACTGATCAGCTTATTACAGATTTTTATTGTTGTTAAGCATCTTTTGTACCAATTTCAAAAATGTTGGAAAAAGATTTGACAAAATTATTAACATTTAACTATTTTAAGTCTTGGGATTTGCCAGTCTTTTCATTGTAATTTTCAGTTTTCCCAAATATATTGTCTGAAGAAAATATTTTCATTACACACAGTCAACTGATCAGCTTATCACAGATTTTTATTGTTGTTAAGCATCATTTGTACCAATTTCAGAAATATTGGACAAGATTTGACAAAATTATTAATGTTTAACTGTTTTAAGCCATGGGATTTGCCAGTCTTTTTAATGTAATTTTCAGTTTTCCCAAATATATTGTTCAAAGAAAATACTTTTCATTAGACACAGTCAACTGATCAGCTTATCACAGGTTTTTATTGTTGTTAAGCATCTTTTGTACCAATTTCAAAAATGTTGGAAAAAGATTTGACAAAATTATTAACCTTTAACTTTTTTAAGTTTTGGGATTTTCCAGTCTTTTCAATGTGATTTTCATTCTTTTTTCAGTTATATTGTTCTTTTTCAGAGTTCCCTTACCATGAAAAAACAGACAGTGAAAGAAGGGATCAAGAGCAGCACCATGTCTTGTCCATGTGTACAATACATGATATGAAGCAAGATTTAGGGCATTGTCAAGTATTGTGGTAGCAGCAACCCATTCCAGAAACCCATTGTAAGTGGGAATCTGCATCTGGCATTGATAGTAAGGAGAAGTCTTGTATGGGTATATATTGTTTTCCAGATGACAGTTATAGGTAATTTGCAACCTCGTACACAAACAAACTCAAATCACCAAATTTGCTGTTTTCTTTATTGGTAAACAATACATTGCAATATTGAAATATTTTTTGGTTAATTCTCACTTTTCTGATTATCAATTTTCAATAAACTTGACATTAAAAAAAACACAGATAACTGATCAGCTTATTACTGATTTTTATTGCTGTTAAGCATCAATTGTGAAAATTTCAGAAATGCTGGACAAGATTTGACAAAATTATTATCGTTTAACTATTTTAAGTCATGGTATTTGTCAGTCTTTTTAATGTAATTTTCAGTTTTCTCAATATATTGTCCGAAGAAAATACTTTTCATTACACACAGTCAACTGGTCAGCTTATGATAGATTTTTATTTTTGTTAAGCATCTTTTGTACCAATTTCAGAAATATTGGACAAGATTTGACAAAATTATTAACGTTTAACTATTTTAAGTCTTGGGATTTGCCAGTCTTTTCATTGTAATTTTCAGTTTTCCCAAATATATTGTCAAAAGAAAATACTTTTCATTAGACACAGTCAACTGATCAGCTTATCACAGATTTTTATTGTTGTTAAGCATCATTTGTATAAATTTCAGAAATATTGGACAAGATTTGACAAAATTATTAATGTTTAACTATTTTAAGTCTTGGGATTTGCCAGTCTTTTCAATGTAATTTTCATTCTTTTTTCAGTTATATTGTTCTTTTTCCAGATTTTCCTTACCATGAAAAAGGAGGCAGTGAAAGACAGCATCAAGAGCAGCACCATATGTCTTATCCATGAGTACAATATATGATGAAGCCCTGAACCTGGGAAATATGTGTACTTTAGATAAACGAAGGGAAGATCTGTGCAAAACTTTCTTTTACAAAATAACTGAACCCTCTGACAAACTGAATCACATTTTAATTGAGTAATCCAATCATCTTTTAAGATCAAACAATAAATACAAAGTGCCAAAATTTAAGACCGATAGATACCGATGCTCTTTTATTCCATATGCACTTTTAAATTTCCAATAGTATAATGTTGTCTTTTATCCTAAGTACAGTAATTTTAAAGTTCAAGTAGCAGTCTTTTAACTCAGTTTCATTCAAGCAAATATCATTTTATTATCATTATGATGTTCTTTACATTCTATGTACAACTTCAACCCACCTGGTTGTAATCTTAAAAAATTATTATTATTATAAAGATTTGAAATATAATCGTCATCATTATTTAAATGTATGAAATGGATATTACCAATAAAAACATAATAAGAAAGGATTTTTTATGGGGGGGAGGGGAGGGGGTACCACTTCAGTTGGTATAAAAGAAATTCAAACCATTCTTTATCTTTCAGCACTGTTTTTAAAATAACATAAAGAAAGTACCAGTATAGTATTGGTTTCCAAGTCCAGGTAACTTAGTGTCCCCAAAGGTGTTGTAATTATATTGTTAATCCAACGGGTTTGCTTAAAGATTATCATCGAAAAAATCAAAATATAATAACTGAAGACACTTGATACAAGTATAAGAGAACCTTTTCCAAAACTTTTTTGTACAAACACGGATGTGTCAGAATATAAAGCCGTCTCCTGCATTTGCCATCGCCTTTGCCTTGCACTTTCAGTGATAACACATTAAGTGGAAAGCCATTTTACTTTTTGTTTTCAAACTTACGGAACAGATGTATATTCATAAAATACAGGTTGATTTCAAAAATGGGTATGATCAAGCCATTTTGTCAAAAGTAAAGCTGTTTTTTCTCGTTTTTCAGCATATTTAATCCACCATGATACAGATACCATGAAAACTCACATTTGCATTATTAAAGATTGGTTGTGATTATGCTGTTAAGCATTATATAATATTGCATCACAATTGAAGAAAAAGCTATGTTGGGCACTTCTGCCATAGTAACCACTTTGGGAAAACTATGCCACTTGCTATTCTCAAATTTACAGGAAAGAAATATATAGGACTAAAATACAGCTTTGGTTGGAAAACAAGCCTGATTGGTTAATTTTTCTTGAAGTTGCACATTTGGCATTTTCAAGGTGACTTTGCACCTCCATGGGCTTGAAGACTTTTGCTAGTCACATTTTCTGAATATCCATGATACTTCTATTTTATCATTTTAAAAAATTTGATGGTCATTATGCTGTTAAGCATTATGTAATATTGCATTAAAAGTGAAGAAAACCCCATTTTGGACACTGCCGCCTTGATAACTATTAAGGGAAAACCATGTTACTTATGATTTCCAAACTTGCAAAGCAGAAACATGAGACTTAAATGCAGCTTGAGTTGGAAAAGCAGTCTAATTGCTTTCTTTTCCTGGAAGTTAATCATTTTTTTTTTAAATTTTCATTTTTGAAATATTAGCATTTTCAATGTGGAACTTAGAACTCCCACAGGCATGAAGCCGAAAGGTAATCAAATTTTGTAAATGTTCATGTAATTTGTAGTAGATAATTAAAAATTGGTAGTAATATAATTGTTAGTCATCATGCAATGCTTCATCAAAATGGACAAAAAAAAACCTACTTGATGTACTGCCTCCACAAACGTGAAATAAAAACTGTTACTTATAATTTTTTAACAAGAATGATTCTTAGGATTGACATACAGCTCAATTATAAAACCTACTCTGTTGGATTATACTTTTTATTGAATTTCTTTGTGAAATTTTCATTTTTTTTTGTAAAATTTTCATTTTTCTCATTCTGCCATTTTCAGTGTGAACTTGAAGTCTCATGGTCCTGAAGCCTTATGCCCATTACATATTTTACTTACATTGGTATTACCAGTTGTGCATAATTAAAATTTGCTGTTGACAGTTAAGCATAATGTAATATTGCATCAGAATTGGCAGTAGCCTATTTTGTGCATTATTATTTTCTGCTTTTTGTCTGTACACTTTACAGCTTTGATGCCTTGTCTTTTTAATTAATGCAATTTTTTGTGAAAGTTTCATTTTTTTCTGGAGCACATTCTGGCATTTTCAAAGTATGCACTTGAACTCTGATAGGCCTGAAGCCTTATGCTTGTTACACATTTTACTTCCATTGGTATTACTTGTTGTGCATAATTAAAATTTGATGCTGACTTTGCTGTTTAGCATAATGTAATATTGCATCAAAATTGCCAGTAGCCTATTTTGTGCATTATTACTTTTTGCTTTTTGTCTGTACATTTGACAGCTTTGCTGCTTTGTTTTGCAATGTACCCCACTCCGAATTTCAGATTCCATACAAGAACAAATCGCAAAGGTACAATACTACACCGGCGCAAACAACTCTATCATTTCGGAGGGAGATGCTGAAGAAAGTGACGAAAGTGGTACTTATACTGCTACTGTTACTGAGACTGAAATGGATTTTGAGACTGAGGGCAGTCAGGTTCATGATTTCATTGACAGAGATTTAAAGTGGCACCTATTCTCCTACTCCATCAACACCATGGCGCTGGAAATGAGCACCTTAAATCTACGATTTAAACTGGTTGACCAAAATCTCTCTGCTATTGAATGCAGATTATATTACCCTAATGTCAAACTCAGAGGGACAGTTACAAGACATGTTTGACTTTCATCTGTGGTGCAAACGGCAGGGTGTTCTTATCAACTCTGACAAGTCAAAGTAGGCTACACGCACTTCAGGAAGACCTGAGCGAATCTGATTTTATATCACAATAGGAGAGAATAAACTAGAAATGGTGAACCAGTATAAATAATTGAGCGTTTCGTCTCACTACACCGCCTACTTGGCGTTACACGCAGAACCATTAACAAAAAGCAGTTGACTTGCACTTGGAAAAAGTATATCTAAGACCCACTCTTATAAAACACTAGTACTTGGATTATCAGCGTTACATCCGTTCTGGACTATGCTGCGGGAGTCTGTGGCTTCTCATATTGAAAGTGCTCAAAATAAAGCGATTTCAAAATGTTATAAGTTTAGATGTGAAATATATGACATTTTTGGGAGTCTCGGAAATTATCACTCAGTCACACCCACCACCAAGGCGGGCAAGAGTTCAGTACAATACGACTCACGTCGAGAACTTTCAGTACATATAGACGCAAAAGCTATCCAGCACAAATAATCAGTGTGGGACGGACCCGGACTGTCTACCATGTCAGCACTGTAAATGGTTAAACACGGTGCAAAATTGGAACAGAGCGTTGTCCGTTGAACAACCGAATATCACGAAACGCGTGGTTGAGATAGACTACCAGCTCTGCGTTAAGAAATTGGTGCGAACTTTAGAAAAAAGAAAATATAATGATTATTATTTATTTAATTGATAGTTAATCTGTTATTACTATTGTCATTGTAATTTTCTCTTTTATTATAAATTTTTGTCCTGCGGAAACATGCTATCTCAATTAACAAATTGGTCCATAATAGGGCCGGGGTATACCCTTATGACTATAATAAAACAGTATTCTATTCTAGTTGTGCTTACTCTTTGTATACAGTATTTTGAACAACGAATAGAATAAACCAGTTAGCATAAAAACGTTACATTTACATGTACAAATCTTTCAGCTCCACAAATCTATAGAAAACAATATATAGTAATTGAGCAAAATACGTCTGAATGTTTAAACTACGTTGTGCTGGTAATGATTATGATAATGATAACAACCTCATTCATTTGAAATTGAGATATGACCTAGGGATTCGCCGTGAGATGTGACTTTTTAAATTGGATGAAAGTCGCATTTTGTCTTCTCTAACACAATCGATTGATTTTTATTGGGTCCATTCATTCTACCAGCGAAATCTGATTGCTGCCACTGGTAACTTGATATAATGTTTGATGGCTGATAAACCGTGATTGTTTTGCCGTTATGATTTTAGTTAACCCGAATTGCCTTCCCGCGATCGGAATCCATAATAGTGCCCTATCACATAACAAAGACCAAGGCCTAAATCGAGGCTTCTGTACGGAGGGTGGTCAACTATACATTATTATGTAAACCAGGTGAGCACGTCACTTTGCTGAGAGGTATTCAGATAGGACCAAGGTCAGTTGGAAAAGAAGGAAACCTCACTGCAACAATTTCCACATGTAGGCCGAAATTCTGACACTGAAACTGCAGTAATGTGTTGTAAGTACCTTAGAGATAATATAAGATTACACTTTTGATTATGTGTGGACGGCATTTTCCCAAAACGGTACATTTTCTATTGAAGTCGTATTGACCATGGGGACATGTACCTGACGTGAACGTCACTTTCTCCTTGAAGTCCAAAATGAGCTTGAAGTAAAATAGCTTATTTTATGTTATTATTTTCTAGAGGGAATTCACTTGCCAATTAAGAACCAAGAAGATTATTCCAGTTGTCCAGAGACATGCTATTCCATCTTAAACAAAGCAAGACGACAAGGCAGGTGACTTGTATACGCAGCTCTCTATTGATTGCCCTTTGATTCCTAACCATCGCCTTTTTTTTCAAAGAATCAAGTGTCTCCTGTTTTTAGATTAAAAAAAGTAATAATATCACTGTAAATTAAGTTCGTGTTTGCATAGAATGTGTTGGTTTAATATATTTATTAATATAATATGATTTTTATATATCGTCAAGAATTCCGAAATGGATTGCTGTAATGGTTATATTTTTCGTTATGGAACCCTTAGATACTGTCTTGTGAATGTGAATTTTATTTAATTTAATTTCATTTTCATTTAATTCCAGTGACTCGTAACCATAACGTTTATGAAAATGGATTCGCCCCCTACAAAGATATCAACTTCGTGTTCGACAGCGCCCGCACCCATGTCAAGATTGTCTCGCTTGCCGGAGTTTGTCTCATAGTTAATTTTCAGGGTTGACATTTGATTTGGTTTGGATGTAATGTTTGTATTGGGTTGTATTATTCTGCACCAGAAAGTGCATCAAATGAAATGCAGCGTGTAACGGGCGTTTTATTCGTGGAACTTCTTGTAAAAATTGACTAAATCCAAGCGTCAACCCTGCACGTCACTTTTTTTATTACTTGAGATATGTTAATAAGTTGTATCACAGCTCTCTATTCGCACACGACGTACTTTTGTAATTTGTTTATATTTTTGGTTTATATCCACCAGTTCTCGAACCTGAAACGACAGTTTCGGGGTGCTCTTCAAACAGACGTCATTGAAATCATTTTCGTGCTTATG